GTGGGTGGATGGTAACCGTGATGGGGAGGGTGGTAAAGTTTAGAAGAGCCGCATCACATGGGTGAGAAGCTGATTGCAGGCACAGGGAAACATGGTTAGAGACTATAAACATGGAAAGACACCAATTCACTCGCCTGAGGGATTCCCTCCAGCTTTCCCCAGGAACCTGGGTGTCAGTCAGGCTTTTCGGAGGCCGGGAGAGGGCTGGATACTTTTTTCAAACCCCCAGTATACTCAAGCATGCTGGAATGCCAAGAGAGGGTTACAAAGCCAAGGGACGTTTCAAATGTTTACACTTGGCAAATTAGTGCTTTCAACACGCATTGATTACAATGCAATGTCATTGTGCCACTCACCAGGTAATTATGGAATTTACTTAAAATATTAATTCATAATGCGTTACAGAGAGGGCCCTTCGGTAACTGGACAAAGTTTAAAGTTCTACCATGAATGCCTTCTTGTAATGGTGTAGTTATATCTCTGGGATGGTAGCATAACCTCAGTTCGACAAACTGTCAAAAGCCTTTGATTGAAGCTTTTAATAAATGTAGGGCCCAGGCCCCCAAAAGCCTGAGATGTTGGAATGGAAAAGACAGATGACTGGATTAACCCAGTTTAAAAGATTCAGTTCATTGAAATACATGGGGCAATGGGATTGAGGGCACAGATGATTAAGAGAGGTTGAAGCAATGAGTTATGATTTCTAAACAGTTGGGAAGGAAGTGGAAACAGGAGGGAGTGATAGGTTGGTGGGAAAGAGAGAGGTTAATAATAAATGAGGTGTGAGTAATAAAACCAGAGAACCCAATGGCTGTTAAGAGAATAGTATAACACAGTTTGATTTCATAGCTGAAGTATTTCTGGATGATGGGGTGTGGACATAGGAGTAGGTGGCTAAAGAGAAAGACAAATTGTAGTTGAAAAGGTAAATCATTGTAAGACGGGTTTTGAGATGGTGATCTACAAGGACANGGCTAAAGAGAAAGACAAATTGTAGTTGAAAAGGTAAATCATTGTAAGACTAGGGTTTTGAGATGGTGATCTACAAGGACGTTGAAAATGACCCAGGATTTTGGTGGGTCTTTGTATGAAGAAGGCGACTCCCTATTTCAAGGTGCCTTAAATTGATAATTGCTCCAAAAGAGGGGCTGGACAGGAACACCCGGGACAAAGGATTGAATACATGTTATCATCATTCCGTACTAATCTGCGATTGAAATTTTATAGCTGAGGAATAGTAAATTACAAAATCTTGGTGGGTGCTACAGAGGTGCTTACCGAACATAGAATCACTTCAAACAGTCTTTTAATCCACTTATCAAAGCAATTTTGTTCTCATTTTAATGGCAGGTGAAACAATATTGAACAAAGCAGCCTCTGCTGTACCCTAAGCCCTTTAATTAGAGTGTTCATAGTCATAAATGCTCTAGTTAAGGGACAGCTTCTATTATAATCCCAGGTTTTTAATCACTTTGGTTCTTCAAGTTTGTTTTTCAGTTGAAGTTTTAAGTGCACCATTTCCGTCCAAAGGCTTTGCGTGGACTGATTATTGGACGTGAGCGGACGGGACAGGACCCTGAGAGGGGTTGCTGCAAAGGAGAGGCCGTGTCACTATGTGTGAAGTAATCTGTGAGCATGGACAATGACCGCTGATATTTATGCAGAACTCATTATAGGCCAAAACCTGGGCTAAGTACTTAACTTTATATCCACTGACTCACTGAACGCCTCAACGTATGAAGTAGCTGTTATTACCCCTGACCACAATATTAAAGAAATTAAAGAACAGGTAATAAGTAACTTGTCCAGTGCCTCACAGCTAGTAAATGGTGGAACTGGGATCTGAACTCAAATCTCTCTAACTCCAGAATCAACAAGTTTAAGGTGAAGTGCACTTGGCATTCAGGTATGAGGGTGGAGATAAATCTAAGGAGCATCAGGGGCACCCGTGGGGGATTCCCTTCCTCAGGTGAAATTGGGGTCGNATGGTGGAACTGGGATCTGAACTCAAATCTCTCTAACTCCAGAATCAACAAGTTTAAGGTGAAGTGCACTTGGCATTCGGGTATGAGGGTGGAGATAAATCTAAGGAGCATCAGGGGCACCCGTGGGGGATTCCCTTCTTCAGGTGAAACTGGGGTCGGGAGCAGTTGATGGGAACCCTGCTTTACAGTCTTGAAGGCCTGAAGCCTCTTTCCCTGACCCCACCTCCCACACCGAGAGACACAGCTCCTTCCTCAGAACCCTCCCGGGCATGTCCTGGCTGGAGGAAGATCATCTTTTTGCTCAAGGGACCTTTTCTTGCTTAAACGTATTTATACATCTGTTCCACTAGCATTGCGGACAAAATCAATAAAATAAGCAGCTCGTTTTCTTTAGAATCGGCTAGTGGATTTAAATTCAGAGTGATGTTGCCCAATCCTGGGAATATACTGAAAACACCGAGTCGCGTAAAGGGGTGAATTGTAGAGTTTGTTTTGATCTCAATAAATCTGCTTATTAAAAAAAAAAATCAGTGTATGCGTTAAAATTTTTTTTCCATTGCTTTTATTGATTTCAAGCGGACTCCTGGCACTGCCGCGTGGCGAGCAGGAGCCTGGGGATGGCCCTCGCCCCTTCGCGGCCCACTCGGTGGACGGTCGCCCATCCGCCCG